AAAAAAAAGAGGAGTCGAACCGTCCTTAACTGTGATGCAGCATTCTGTCAGACCGCCATTTAGTACTTTTGGTACAGCATTCTGTTAAAGTGTATTTCATTAAAACGACAGATTACCTCAATAGATTTCACAAAACTTTTGGAAATCATTGTTTATTTTCAGTTGTTTAATACTTGATTTGAATTCTTGTATTTTGAAAGGAATTATTGAAAACCCACGAGGCAATAAAGTATGACCAAGGACAAGTAGTGGTGGAAGTTGTAGTTATTTTTCTATTTATTTGGCGGCAAGAAATCGGAAGACAGCATGGATTTATTAAACTTGGTTATAGAAGCCCCTTCCAAAAACAAATCTTTTAATTGGGTTCAGGACAATACCTAGTTCCTCCCAAAGGATTTTGTAGTACATGTATTGGTGGTGAAAAATATCGGTAAGAATGAAATTTGGATAAGGAATGGAAAACCTTTGTGAAAAACACCCAAAGCTTTCTACCATGTATTGGGAGTGGAAAGAAAAATGTTTAAACGGTCCATCGACTGAACTGAAAGGCTTGAAACGCGGAACAGGTTGGGAGAAGAAAGGATGAAATCTGATAATAACCATGACATTTCACTGATAAAAACAGTTCTTTAAAAAGCGCCCTCAAACCCAAGAGCAAACCAAATAAGCACAGAAAAATCATAAGACAAAATTAACAAAGTTAGATGATTAGGTCCACATTTAAACATGAAACTAAAACAATCGTGATAACCAAATTACAAAAAGTGACTGTTAGTTTTTAATTTACATTCAAAAACTGAAAACTGTGCTTGGTGAATGTTGTAAACGGTGGAGAACTCTGAAATAGAAATTGGAACGTTCTACAATTGTTGGCCACTATCCGGTTCATAAGTGACTTCGTCATACACGCGCATGCACCACTGATTACAAGCTTCCATTGGACGAACACTAAAAATTGCACGTAAACTTCCAGTTCCATGGATCCACTTAGTTCTGTGTGCAGTGGGCGTGGTTTAAACTGAAGTGACGTCACACTTACGGACAGGGTACTCAAACAACGTAAACAAGTATAATGGGATGCGTTGCTTCACATTACCATGACACTAAAAAACAAACTTCAGCTAGCTTCATGTAACAGACAAAAATAACACACGCGTATACATGTACAAGCAAATGATTTGAAAAATGCTTAAAGACCTTCTAAAAACCGCCACCCTCTTTACGAAACCACGTACAAATATAAACGTATAGGCCCTACTACAAAAATACCATAAAAACCTTTGGATACAGACTAATTCGCAGTACATTAAAAACTACCGGCAACGTAAACCTAAACCTAAACGTCCATAGCAGAATATTAATTGTATAAACTTGTCACAAAGTGCTATAAAACATAACCTATAAACAATGAAAAAAATACACTGCTGCGCAAATTACGAAAACAAAGTAACCTAAAGCATCGCCATTCAAGCATACCAATATCTGAATAGTGCATAACAGAATCTATCTTATATCATGAAGTCACGGATGGTTTCAAAGCGAACTCGTAAGCGACACGCAAGCAACAGCTACAAATCCCTAGCTGTGCTTTTCTGAAAAAAGCTAATTGATTGGGTTAATCTCAAAACTTTAATTAGAAAAAAAAAGAAATACAAATCATTGTGTTTCTTGATGCGGTAGCCTCGATGTCTTTACTCTTGATGCGGTAGCCTCGATGTCTTTACTACATCGCTTTCAGAAACTTCAATTTTTACTTATTCGGTTGTTTGAAATACAGTAGACAATTCTTTATGACATTAACCATTTCCAAACAGTTGGAAAGTGGAGTGTTTCCAAACTCGCCCGTTTTATCTCCTCACCCTGTACTCCATGGAGTGTAAAGGATTCGTAGTTAGATACTGATAGCATTTGGGATTTCCTTAGGATGACAGTAATCATAAGGAAACTCCCGATTTTTGTTTCGCTCATCGATGATGATCTCAATCTGCTTTAGGTCCTTCCGAAACCTGATGGAGAAAAAAGCAAAGATGTGGATTAAAAAGATTATTTCTATAATACCGATATACTGAAAGTTAAGATGATGTATGTTATGAATATGTTCGAGTAAGCCATTGGATACAAAATGATGTACAGTGGCAGTGTAGTAATTATTTCTGCCGTTCAAAAACAAAATCAATAATTTGACTTTTAAATTAAATTAATTAATTTGACATTAATCAATTGACTGTAAACTTATTCAATTTCCACCAGGAAAGGTCATACTAGAAAAAGCACAGAAACGGCACGTAAGACAACAAAATGGTCAAATATCAAAAAGCTATGCAATGAGGACAATATTAATAAGATCAGCATGTGACAAAATTTGAACTGTTACGTCCTGTTTCCGTAAATCTGTGATGAAAGAGTTTTGAAGAACCTTGGAAAAGGGGAAACATCTCTCTTTTTAATTGTCTTACTGTTCCAGGGCCTTGACAGCGACAGGACAGAATCCGTACTGCATTTCAAAGTCACCCAAACTATTGGTGGCCTTCTCACTGAGCAGACGAGTGACTATCATGACATCAACCGTCAATGTCTTATCGTGCAGGTTGTCTAAGATGTCTTTCTCAGTCCGTGGAGACTTCATGTAAGAAAGGTAAATGATAACTTATAAAGAATCAAACAAAACAAAAAAATAAACAAAAACAAGCATACGAGTTTCAATGCAAATTTCATACGGTTTGGCGCGAGTCATTAATGTTGCTCTGACGTAAGAACTAAATGAGCAGGTCACAAATCAAACCTTATCGGTGGGTGGGGGCATCCTCATCCCTGTCGGGCAGTGGGGAGGGAAGGCGTAGTCATCGTACATAGAGAAGTTGGCCACGCAGTGAGACACGCTGCAGGTGAACATGATGGGCGCAACGGTACTGATGACATCCTCGACGTTCGCGAAATTGCCGTCAGCCGGAATACCCTGGGGTAAATTAGTTAGTTCGCATTCTTTACTCCAGTTGAACAAATTTCGGTTCGCTTTTGGGGATCCATTCAGAAGTCCTGATCAGATCTGCATACATTTGCTCATTTTACAGAGCAGAGCAGTGAGATACTCATCTGCATTTAAAATACTATTTGACTAAATACCTGAAACCCAGCTCCTCCATCATCCTGTGACGTGGCCATCAAACGCCCCCATTCTTGGAGTTCATAGTCCTCAGTAATCATGTCAGGAGTTTCTATAAAGTACAAACAAGTTTAGTAAGTGTCTGGTATGTTCAGGTCGTACGTTGAAATACTGGGTGTGATTAAAATTCGTAGCGATACTATAGTCTGGTGACAAAATGCTTATCAAGCTGAATGAGCCAAATCATTTCAAACATGAAGACTTGAACTTGTCCTCACCGTAATGTGATTCGACAACAACTCTGACGTATTTCTCCATCGCCTCGTAAATCAGCACTCCATCATCTCGATAGTGATAGTTGGGAAGTGCTTGGGTGTCATCGACCCCGCGTGCCTTCAAATCGTTGATGATGGTACCTTCCACATTCAGGCGCCAACGCTTGAAGGCGCGGCCAATCAGTTCATACATGCCATCTCGTCCGATGTTCATCGTTTTATCCACCCATCCGTCGACAGACATCAGAAGAGCAAGACCACGGCTGCGTTTATGAGGATTTTGAATACAATCATAGTTTGGCCATGGGTAACATAGTCTATACTGTATATCCACCGAGGAAACAGGTGATTAAATTAGGCACCTTGTAGGATGTAAACTGATGTATCAGTTTCCTCTTTCTAAAATAAAATTTCATGATAATCTACTTCTGTTTATACATGTGCCATTAATACAGCGCCCTCACCTGTTTCAATAAACAATTCGTTTCAGTACGAGAGTTAGGTGTATGTAGCCTACCTGTTGATGGCCATGAGAAACAGGAAGTGCGGCGCCAAGAGCCGAAAGAGCGGATGTGAAGGAGAGAGAGTGCGATGCATTGTAACTGCCACGCACTCCATCGCCAAATGGGTCAAGCCCAGATGGGTGCAGGACTGGTGGTAGGACGCGTCGGCAGAGTTGAACCACATCTTGGCCAGGAGCCAAGTGTACTCCGGGTCGCTGGGCAGAAAGACCTGAAGATAGTTCCAACAAACAAGAAATGCACAGATAACCAATTAGTTAACAGACTAACAGACAAACAGAGCTTTCAACAGATTATTACAGGCTGCTCAACAACCGGGGTCACACTAGAGCGGTCAATCTTTATAAGCTAGCCGACCATGCACTTGAGCAGTGATCTCTTTTTTACAAAATGAGCAAAGAAATTTATTTATCATTTAACAAGTGATCAATCTTCAATCCGGCTGCTAACCAGCGATCAATCTTCAATAGCAGCCAACCAGTAACCAATCTTCATTCAGACAGCTAAATATTCAGTTAGGGAAGCCAACCAGTGATCAATCTCCAATAAGATAACTAGCAAGGAATCTTTAATCAACTTAGCAACTGAGCAAACCATCAAATCAGTCAGCCACAACCAGCAACCAACCATGGCCAAAGACTTACCGGGTTATCTGGTCCTTTCTGTTGCTCCAACTGCAAAGCAACAGGGATAAGATGCTTGTCCTTATCCACAAAGAACAGTCCAATCGGTGAAACAACCTGACAAAAGAATTTACAAATAAAAGCCAGTACAAACCCATTTTCAATATCCGGATGAACCTTGACTGGATTCACAGCGGAGGAAAAGAATGGATAGAATCTCCATACACATCCATATTGGAGGAGCAAAAGGCCTTCCCTTTCATAAATTAAAGAAACCTATGCAATGGAAACATTGGAGGTCACTATTTTGAAGAAGGAAGTGTGTGGTCTTGGAGGCTCGAAACTGTAACCTTCTCAGAAAATGCTGATGTGTCCTTACCGGTGTTCCCTGTTTAACGGGAAGGTTTTGTAGAATTTCATAGTCGATGTAGTACAGCTTCTTCTTCGCGATAGCCTCCTGGATTGTCATGCCTTCCAAGAATGGTCCAACCATCTCATCGGTCACACCAAACCTGACAAGTGACAAAAGTCGGGGAACTTTATCCTGACTGGATATAAAGCTCTATCATTTGACTTACATAAAGGAATTTTAGAATGCGATTTCATATGAATTGCCCTGTCCGCAACAAGTGTCCAATTGGATGTCAGATATACCCATCATTTTAGAGTACAATTAAGGATGCAATTGCCCTAGGCATAGAATTCTCATTTGACAGATTAAACTTCCAGACGCCTGTGGTAGATTGTATGAGCTCTTCATGGATTCATAAGTCTTCGTGAAAAGATGCAAAGGAATTAGATTTCTGAATGTTTCCCAGAAGAAAATTTGCTCTAGCTGTACATACTTCTCTGGGACTTCCGTGAAGAGTCGAATCTGGGTAGGGTTGCATCTGATCAGTCGCTGCAGACCGAACTCAATGTCAGAGCGCCACGTCCGCATTCCCTGAAATTTACGAAACAATTAGCTCCACGCTGAGAGAGCACAAAAAACTCAACACGTGACACTCTTTAGAATTTATATTAGTAAAGTCCTTTATTTTTTCACCCTAACATATATCTACATTCAAGTTTGATGATGGCGAAAAGCTTGTTAATGCAGCACGCACGTTGCTCAGATCAAGAGACACAGGTTGACGGGTTTAAGAAATAAGAAACGAATGTCTAATTTGCAACAGACATGTGCCTCATTATTTGACCCTCTGTTGGCTAAAGGCTCCTCCACGGAAAACTGAGTCTTATCTTACATCAGGTTTGGAGAAAACTCCATGGTAGACGTTCTTGAGATCATCCAGGTTGCGCCACTTGCCCGTAAATGTCTTGGACAGTTTGCTCTGCAGGAGTAGGTTAGCCTTTCTCTTAACGAGGTCATACTGGACACAGGAGAAACAACAAATTAGAGAGAAAGTTCTTGCTTTAATACACGAAACCAAACGTTAAGTCTGAACATGATGGAAGGCATTCACGGGCAGTCGTATCATTTGTTAAGCTATAAATACATAAAGGATCTGTAATTCATAAATAATTTGATAGGCCTATTCCGAGTAACTTTCCTGTCTTACCAAATACTCAAAGGAGAACTTCTCGTCACCTGGCAGCTCGGCCACCTGGCGTCAAAAGTATAAGCAAAATATTTACAGTATTTGAAATAAAGAACCCAAGTTCCCGATTGCCTTTTCACAAACTTGAAAGATGTATACATGTATATATAATAAATGTGTCAACTTGAAGAACAGTTGCGGTTCCATTCTGAAATGAAAGTGCGCGGATAAACGTAACAATGCCAAAATGCAGAGGCCTATACCGACAGGAGAGAAAGGCAAAGCCACAATTCAGTATAAAACCTACGAATTCTACAGGAAGTACAAATGAAATAATTTTCGGTTTCTGAAAAAGTAAAGCAGCGTAGTCTGAATTTGATAAGAACCAAAAATAAATCCATATTGTCGTAGGATGGAAATGCTTTTACATTTGTACATCAACCTGTACAACGACTCCTTAACTAAGCAAAACGGAACTTCCCACAACGTGTACCAATTAAGTATGCACACAACATGTTTTAAACCTATAAACCACACCAAACATTTCCTCTTGTCATCAAAACTGCACAACTAGAGATCCAGGCATTTCTGGTCTGGCCGGTAGCCTACCAGAGGGTATCCATGTTGGTGCAAGTTCAAAGGTTATACACTTAAACGCGTATAAGGACTTTTAACAGCTCTTTTTCCTGACTGAATATTTCAGTGCGAAGTGCTATGATAAACAAGTTGGCCTTGATGCTCAGTAAAGACATCAAGGCCAGATATGCCATTGGTGAAAAATACAAAGCAAACCCATACCCTTTCAAAAATAACAAAGGACGGTTGTTAAACATACAGCAGGTAGCAAGAACCCATAAAGACACCGAGGCCGGGGAATAAACGTGGATTTCTCACACGTTGCAATATCTTCATAAACGATGCGTGTAATTCAACAGTCCAAAATGGTTTCTCTATTTCGCAGTAGCCTATGTGCCTTTCAGTCGCACTCATCATCGCAGTGAAAATATCAAATATCAGTAACCTCACCGCCGAAAAACTTTGACTTTAAGTGATGATAAACAAGCAGTTCTCTTTGACCAGAATAGTCGTAGAAAGCCTTCCAGGTAAGGGAAGCTGAATTCTCTATCTTTCTATGACTCACAACAAAGTTCGACGTAAATATACGCCACTGGATACCTAGCTTAAAGAAAACTGATCACGCAAATTACGCAGCTAGATTCCGAGGCCGGAATCACTGTATACCTCATTGAGTTCAATTGATAACAACTTACTAAAGAAAAGAGGACCGTCTTCTAATGCAGATGCATCTTGACGCGTCACCACCAAATTTCGTCAATTCGAATAAGCCTATTTCTTGTTGATTCTGATCTTGACTTTGTCACCCACAGATCAGTGGGCGTTGTGACGTGTGCCGTAGCGTGTGGACTAAAATTTCAAGTAGGTCAAATTTTTGTGTTCAAAATCTACCAAACTTCAATGGCACCGTTTCCAGAAGGATTTTTCGCAACGTATAGCGTGGAATTAGCTTAATTCGTTGTACAACAGGACCTCTTTCGGAAATTTCCTTTACTAATTGGGCGGGATGTTGATTGCATCTAATCTAAATCACTATACCATAGATTTAACACTAGAAAACGCTGATTCCCTTAATGTTGTGGTCCCTAGGCCCAACATGGAATGTGTTAAGCAATCTCTCAACTATTCTGAAGCTATTATATGGAACAACATACCAGCTAAAGTCCAAAATGCATCCTCTTTGGACGGTTTAAAATTATGTATAAGAAGCTTTATTTTTAATTAGGTATTTTTAAAAACAGTTTTTATGCCCTTGTTAGTTAATTTTAATGTTACCATTTTACCCTCTTAATTGTCCATTGTCTCTGTACTACACAGGACTATGATGTAAAACAGCCTTAGAGCTGATGTCCTGTCTAAAGATTTTCAAATACATAAATAAATACCAGGCTCTAAAGAAGACATTGGAATATCATGACCTATAATATCAAGGTTTCTCACATCCGGTAGCATGATTATTATACTACATCAACTTTGTTACCTTCTAACTTAATTTTGGATGATATATTCTGATTTACCAACAAGTAGACCCCAATCTTTGTAAGAAAGATCCAGCTTAATAATAAAAGTTTACATTTGTACAAGAGATTTGATCCCAAATTCCTAAGATGACAGAATTAATAAAGTCAATACTTTGAACTGAATTTGCCTAACTCCTAAAGACAAGGTTTTTTCGAGTCAACTGACTTACTGTTAACTTACTGTTAAGAGGGAAATAACTGTTGTTCACCGTACACAGCTTTGAATTCTTGAGGTACTGACCTGGAGAGGTATGCCTGCCTCAGGAGCTTGGCTCTTCAACTCATAAATCTTCTTTATTTCCTCCATCTCCTCCTTGCGTTGTGAATCTTTGCGTGGGTCATGCTGAGGCAAGAGTGAGTCATACTGACGGAACATGACCCTCTTCTTGGCCGGAATCCACCGGTGGACGGGGAACTCGTACGGCCCCTTCTTAGGCCCCTCCTTGGGCGTCTCGAAGATATCGATTTTCTCCAGGTACCACGGGTCGAAGGCACCGTGTTCGTCCCGCCAGAGCTCGATCTCATGTACAGCGCCGAAGTCAGCTGGGAGTTTGGCCTTAAACTCATCGGTTTTCCCTCTCTCGAAGTCATCGTGGAACAGCCGATCCAGCTTGATCTTCTTGGAAGTGACTCCATTCTCGTTGTGCAGGATGATGTAGATGTTAGCATCTGTACCAGCGCCTTTGCGATCGCCAGTCTTCACAAGGATCTTGTAGTGGGTGTGAGCACCGGCCAAGTCGTCGGATGACGCTTCTTTCATTGCAGTAGCCTGACCGTCGGAAACATGGTTAGGCGACTTGTTGCCGCAGCAACACAGAAGACGGGACATGGTGGGAAAAGGCTTGTAAGTTGCGGTCTAAGCTCTCCACCGAACGCAGCGGACGGCGATGCTCCTTCCTAATGGCAATGCTGGAGACGTTCAGCCTGGCTTAAACTGATGTTTACAGTGCTTTCCAATATTGTACACAGAACACAGCTTAGAACTTATTGAAGTGACCTTCCTGCTTTGACCTCGCCAACACAACAGGTTCAACCTTGGATCAGTGAACAGGAGTTGGACACAATGCAAAAGCGGTACACGTACGTTTTACTTTTCTAGTACAGTTACAGATAAAACTTTAAAAGACATTCGGATAAAAGACGTCGGATAAAAGAATTTCGGCGCCCATGAGCGCCAATCTGTGTACAATCTATGTATGTGGAAGTAAGTTTTACCATGGAGGAATGATCCATGTTTTAATTTTCTTTGGTCCCTGAAATAATTTGCCACCGAGGATCTTCCGACACCACCGTTGGTAGTGGCCGTAGTGACAGATTTGCTCCTCTCTGGAAAAATATGGGTTGTCCTTTGGTCGCGTCCGGACAGGCGATGTGTTTCACCAACTGTTTCGTCGAGAAATTATGCGTTGTAGGTGTCTGATTAGAGGCTGTTCTTTGTCATTCTAATGTAGTTACAATAAGTGCACAAAGAGTTTACTCGAGCATATCCATGTCTATGGCTGTCGCGTGTGCTGTCACGTTGATTGCTTGTCTCCCCTCTGGATTGACTTTTCTGCGAGTTACTAGGCTGTGCGCGGTCGACGGTCAGGGCCAAAGGTGTGGTGTTTATGTGTTTTACTGGTTGTCGTTATTGACTTAGCTTTTGTGAAGTAAGGCGGACACAGAAGTGGGTAAATTTTGACCAGACAGAAAAGATTTTACACAAACCAAATAGCGCCCCCATAGTGTCTGTCATAATTATTTCAAATAGACCCACAGCGTCGAGACACAGGAACCTTTAATTGTGAGGTACGACGTTGAAAAAAATGTTTATCCATGGTGTGTATTCACGGAGCTTTGTCCACGTTTGCTGTGCTTTGAATATGCTGAGTGCGCATATAAAGGTGGAAGGGCTTCGTACTGATCAAGAGAACAGGAACAACCATTTCCGCGAAACTGCTTAGACTAATCACTTTGACGCGGTGAGGTTGGGACAGGCCATTTTGAAAGGCCCATATCGCGCGCGCGGTAACGGTCAGCGGTAACAGAAAACGGTAATGCCACGCGTTATTTACCCTGAAATCAAAGGTCACCTTGGCCGAAATGCCCGGCGAAATGCAGAATATAACTTTCTTCGACCAATGCAGGCTTTATGCCTGAAAAATGCTCTCAGTGGGGACATACTCGCATTGTTGCCCACTGGATATGGGAAAAGCCTCAGTTTTGAGATGTTGCCGCTGACGAAATAAAAAAACGCTCAGGCTATCAATTTCTGACCCTTGCGTCATATCTATTTATATCCGTGGGTGATGCCTGATGACCACTGATCTCTATACACTCCTCCATGATACACTGGATAGGCAGCTCAGCAGTAACTGCCTATGTGTGAATTGAAGTGACCACGCAGTCATCTTAGGGTATTCAATACAATGGGACCTACATGTACTTGCATGGCACTTGAGCCGGTGACTTGAAAACTGCCGTTGTATTGAAGAAGCCTAAGATGGCCGCGCAGTCGCTTCTGAATTGGAGGTGTTACGCCCCAACTATGGGACACTGAGTCCCAACTGTAGAGCTGCAGTTCGGGCTGGCCCAACTATTTTTGACCGATGTCTGAGGGAAATGTCTCAACATTATTCGAGTCAATGTGTCTCACACTTGACACAATTCATCAAAAATGTGGCATTTAGCTCTATGACCAGTGACATGACATTTGTAAACAATATGACTTTGGCACATGCTGGGCACATCATGCACACAGGATCTCTCTGCTGTAGTTGGGCCGGTCCGACTGTAGCACTCTAGTAGGGACGGGCCCAACTATAGTTGGGACTGATGCTATAGTTGGGGCGTAACAGAGGCATATGATGAGCGATATGCGGCAAAGGGGACCCCCCCTTGTGTCTTCTTTTGTGTTGATGACATCTTTGGAATTCCTTTCAGATTTTTAAGAGGGGTGCATTTTGGCGCAACAACCTTAGGGTATACAGCTTGTGCATCACATTGGGGGTTCCCCCTTACCGCATATCGTGCTGGCTATCATTGGTAGAGCAGAGCTGCCTATCCAGGGTACAGAGATCAGTGTACCTGACCCAAGATTTTTTATCAAGAGTTGTCAGGGAATCTTTGGGCAGGGAACTAGACTTCCCGGCCCCGAATCGTTGGCAGCTGCCTGGTAGGACGCCATCATCGGCCAAAACGACGTTACTTTAAGTTGCTGAGACGTCAGTGAGGAAAGAATCCCCAGAAAATGGTCACAGACAAATTTTAAACCAAAGGAATTCTGTCCCTGGGGAGCTTAGATGGTATTTGGAATGTTTCATGGGCCCTGTGAGCAGGGGTAATAACGGAAAGCGCTTTAATCTGTTTTGCTCAGCGTTTAGACAGGTATTGTGCTTTGTTTCTGGAATGTCGCTGTGCTTGAAATGGCTTGAAGTATGGGTATAAATCAGAACTACTTTCGACCACTGAGGAGTAAAATGAAAAGATTGTGATCACCAAGTTTAACTACACCCAAAATAATTGCTCTATGTTTATTTGCATTCAAAACTTATAGCCGCATTATAAACAGTTACGAACTCTGAAATGTTCAAAAGTCGTCCAAACCCAGGTGAAGACAACAAAAACTAGACATTCGGAAATAAAACTAGCCATAAATCTATATTCAACCGACGTGTACAAGTTAAATAAACGACAAAGAGTGTGTTGCTTTTCGAGTATTAATAGAAATACTTTAACCAGCTAGCTTCTTGCAAAGAAAGAGTAAAATCATGTATGTACAATGGACTATCATTATTACTAACTCGGCAGGAACAAAATTTCGCTTTTAACAAACTTATCTTCGCTTCTGAGTGCGAGTGCAGAGTCCTGTTTATAGGGGAAAAATTGTTGCAGCAAAATACGTAATTCCGTTTACAACGAAAAGTTTATAGACTCTTGCGTCAAAAGAATTGTTGGCGACTTATTTATTACAAATGTTTACAAATCCTGGATCATACAACTCAATGCAAAGTAACATGTAGTCATTCATAATGTCTCGATCCTGTACAGGTTGTTTAGTCTTGCCGCGAAGGTGCTACTTGGTTAGACCGTATACTGGGCCGGTAATCACCGGCTGGTTTTTACCAACTACAGCCAGTCATTCATGCGCCGCATCACCGGTGATGCGATCCAGACATCTGCACCGCCTGTGCATCGCCGAAGGAAACTACTGAATCCTCACAACCATCGCTTAATAATAACAGTAGCTTAACAATATTGTTTACTTGATAGTCTTTTAGAAAAATACGTTTCCTGCAGCCCCAGACTCAAAAAATGTTCGAAACCATAATTAACCTCCGCGTATAAAGGGACTCGCAAGGAACTGACACCCAATAATTGAATTACTAAATGGTTAGAAAAAAAACCACCACAGCCCTCTTTACAAAATGAAGGAAAACATACGTGTATACTGAATGAGTATGAAGTATGAGTACTTTGCAATCCAAAATATTTAGCTGTACAATGTATTTGGAATTACTTATCACATGTAAACCTAAAACCTAAACCCATGCAAGGCACCACCAACCTCCCAACAAGACAACGGTACGTGACAAAATATTGCGTAAACTCGACACAAAATGCCCACGTCATAAGCTTCAAACCGTATAGTTTTGAGAAGCAACAATTCGGTACAGTTTATTAAGATACAGTGAAACCAAAAAGCCATACATATGTAAGCACGCTACATGTTCTATTTAATACTGCATAGCAGGTGTCATCTTAATAGTAAGGTACGGTATCCAATAAACAGAAAAGCTATAGAGTGTCTAGTACTTTTACGTTTTAAAAAGCGTACTTGACCGCTCCGCAAAAGCAAAAACTAGCACTTTCTACGAATTTCTGAAACAGTAAATTGATTTCTTTAACCTCCAACCTTTATTTGGAAAAAACGAAAAACTGCATATCTACGTAATAACCTCAAAGTTGTTACGACTTGGCGCATATTATTTCATTTTTGCGCATTCATTTTTTTTCCTGAAACATTGAGTAATTCTTTATCAGCATTTTCTTTTCTGAAATACAAGGCAATTCTTTCAGACATTCGTCGGGTTCACCACGAAGTAATGTCGTGGTGGGGAAACTATCCACGATACGTCACTTCGTCGTGAAACCGAAGAATTATTCCCAGAGCGTTGGTAAGCTGGGTTTTTCCAAACTTGCCCATTTTATCTCCTCTCCCTGTACTCCATGGAGTTTAGAGGATTCGTAGTTAGATACTGATAGCGTTTGGGACCTCCTTGGGATGGCAGTAATCATAAGGAAACTCCCGATGTCTGTTTCGCTCATCGATGATGACCTCAATCTGCTTTAGGTCCTTCCGGAACCTGATGGAGAAAAAGGCAAAGATGTGGATTAAAAAGATTAATATATAAAACGATCTACTGAAAATTAAGATGGTAGATATTATGAACGTGTTGGTGTAATCTACATGGGGTAAAAACGCTCTCCACGTAATACAAGAGTGATACATGCCGTTCATACAGAATATGTTTAGATTGTTAAAAGCATACAGACTAGAAATATGAAACAAACGAATCCATTTTTAGTGTTCAGAAGTTCTCATTAAAAAAGCATGATATTGGTATGGAAGACGACGAAATGGTTACACATGAAATCAGATCTACGAGTGAGAACGATTTCGATTAGATTTCCAAATTACAAAATTTCACTGTTTGTATTGTGAAAGGCTTCCGTGTGAGTTTCGCTGAGCCTTGAACAAGGGAAAAATCTCTTTTCAATGCTCTTACTGTTCCAGGGCCTTGACAGCAACAGGACAGAATCCGTACTGCATTTCAAAGTCACCCAAACTATTGGTGGCCTTCTCACTGAGCAGACGAGTGACTGTCATGACATCGACCGTCACATTCTTCTCAGGTAAGTTGTCTAAGATGTCCTTCTCAGAACGCGGGGACTAAGAACAAATAATTACTCAGTAAAAGTCAAAAAATTAAAACAGAAAAAGAAAGACAAAAGCACAAAGGCAAACGGTACACAGTGCAAACCTTGTCGGATAATTTACAGTTTGGCGACAGTAAGGAATTTTGTTGCGCAATTTAAGGCGGAGAAAACGTAAGAGAAAATAGACAACAAAACCACAGCCGTTCTTATATCTTTGTATGTCTGTCTCTGCAGCTAGGGGATTTCATTCACCAACAATATTTAAACGAAATCGAATGCAGATAAAAACACGATTCTCATGTTAGTTTGGGTAAATCTTACCCAATGTTACATGGAATTTAGTGTAAATCTTACCTTATCTGTAGGCGGGGGCATCCTCATGCCAGCAGGATAATGAGGAGGGAAGGCGTAGTCGTCATACTGGGAGAAGTTGGCCACGCAGTGTGACACGCTACAGGTGAACATGATAGGCGTAACAGTGCTGATAACATCCTCAACGTTGGCGAACTTGCCGTCTGCCGGAATACCCTGGGGTGAGTGAGTTAGTTATACAAATAAATTTCGGTTTGAAATGAGGTGTCTATTTCGAAGTTCTGGCACAAATCTACATACCGTACTTTCTTGCCCTTTCCAGAGCCGTTTCGTGAAATATGTAACTAGAATTGAAAATGTTACATATATTTGAGTTAATACCTGAACACCAGCTCCTCCGTTATCCTGGGGCGTGGCCATCAAACGCCCCCATTCCTGGAGTTCATAGTCCCCAGTAATCATATCAGGAGTTTCTATTAAAAACAAAAAATGAAGTGTCTTGGATGTTCAAGTCGCACATTGAAATACAGGATATAATTAAAATTAGTTGCGATACATGGAGTCCAATGTAAAAACATCAAGCTGAATGAGCCCCTGTGATTGACTCGTTTTGAATATGGAGACGTAAGTTTGTCCTCACCGTAATGTGATTCCACAACAACTCTGACGTATTTCTCCATCGCCTCGTAAATCAGCACTCCATCATCTCGATAGTGGTAGTCTGGAAGTGCATTGGTGTCATCGACCTCGCGTGCCTTCAAATCGTTGATGATGGTACCTTCCACATTCAGGCGCCAACGCTTGAAGGCACGGCCAATCAGCTCAAACATCCCGTCACGTCCGATGTTCATAGTCTTATCCACCCAGCCATCGACTGAGATCAGAAGAGCAAGACCACGGCTGCGTTTACGAAGAAAGCGAGGAAATAAATACAGAAGACAAAGTTTAAACATGATCAAATTGTCCTATGAATACTGGCTGATGTCTACAAACACAGAGAAAAGAGTAACTAGCATCTTTCCCTACTTCATTTCATCTCTGAAAAGCTTCGATTACTACATATGATTCCCTCCTGTTAACAGCCTTGCCAACAATTCACCGCCTTCCCTTGACTACAAAAATTAGTCGACCATGAGGTGTGTGTACCTGTTGATGGCCATGAGAAACAGGAAGTGCGGTGCCAGGAGCCGAAAGAGCGGATGTGAAGGAGAGAGGGCGCAATGCATGGTAGCCGCCACGGATTCCATCACCAGATGGGTCAGGCCCAGATGGGTGCAAGACTGGTGGTACGACGCGTCGGCAAAGTTGAACCACATCTTGGCCAAGAGCCAGGTGTACTCCGGGTCGCTGGGCAGAAAGACCTGAAGAGTTTCAACAAATAAGAAATGCTCAGACAGCAAATAAGTTAACAAACAAAGCTTTTGACATATTATCTCAGGCAACTCAGCTATCGAGGTCACAATGGAGCGGTCAACCATGGAATATCCAGCTATCTATTCAAGGACAAAAAATCTAAACCAAGCAGCTTACCAGCGATCCTTCTTCAATCAGGCAGAAAACCAAGATAAATCTTTAATCAGGTAACTAATTAGTGATCAATCAAGCTAACCGCTAACCAAAGATACATCGTCAATAATGGCAGACAACTATGATCAATCTTAAATCAGGCAACTAACCTGTGATCAATCTTCAACCGGGTAACAAAGCAGCGATCAATCTTGGCAATTAAGTTGTGATCAGCCTTCAATCAGGCAGCTGACCAAAGATCAATCTTCAATCAGCTAACTTACCTGTGATCAATCTCAAATCAACCAAGCAAACTATAACCATAGCAAAAGACTTACCGGGTTATCTGGTCCTTTCTGTTGCTCCAACTGCAAAGCAACAGGCATGAGATGCTTGTTCTTATCCACAAAGAACAGTCCAATCGGTGAAACAACCTGCAAACAAAGCAGAATTTACAAAATGCTTCTATTTCGGGGAAAAGGGCTTAAAATGATACACTCTTCGTAATACTCAACATGCGGTTGGCATAAAACAGCACAAACATTCAGAACGAGGGCGACGAAACTTCAGTTCTCTCTCCAGATGAATCTATACCTCAAGTGCAAATTACAAATCCACATTAACCCGAACCCGCCCGGGCTCTTTTTTACGAGAAACCATATCCAATCCTCCAAAATCCTCCGATTTTTTACATTAAAAATTTGCATCCAGTCTCAATCCTCCAAAATCCTTCAAAACTACCCAGAGGATTTTGGAGGTTTGAGGAGGGTTAGGGTTAAGGGATCAACAGGCTTCCACGTCTCAAAGAAACTGAGATAAAAACTCACAAAGTGCAAACATTGGGGGCATTATTTTGAAGAAGGAAGTGTGTGGTCTTGGAGGCTCGAAACTGTAACCTTCTCAGAAAATGCTGATGTGCCCTTACCGGTGTTCCCTGTTTAACGGGAAGGTTTTTTAGAATTTCATAGTCGATGTAGTACAGCTTCTTCTTCGCGATAGCCTCCTGGATTGTCATGCCTTCCAAGAATGGTCCAACCATTTCATCGGTCACACCAAACCTGACAAGTTAAGAATGCGGCACTACTCAAATGCGATTGGATACAAAGGCCCGGGAAATAAAAAGCCCAATTGTAAGTCTGACTCGGGCATTTTGGATTCATCAAAACAATCACCTTCCAGGTCAAGGAGCCAGACTACATTTGCTAATTTGTCGTCGTTCAGAGCTCTTCGGGGCGGTTATGTACGCTGCCGTTTTACCCAAGAATTTCCCTCAAATAAGTCTACGCGTTTTCTTCAGTAATACCGACTGCAGTGGAAATACTGCCTCAGATAACACCAATGAGTGTTAGCGTCAAACTTATTCACAGCAAAGAAACCGCCATTCGTAACCTCAGATGGGATAGTACTTGCAGATACTTTAATCCCATAAAAAAACTTTCCCAGAAGGAAATTCGTTCTAGCTTCACGTACTTCTCTGGGACTTCCGTGAAGAGTCGAATTTGGGTAGGGTTGCATCTGATCAGTCGCTGCAGACCGAACTCGATGTCAGAACGCCACATCCGCATTCCCTGAAATATAAAACACGGAAGTGGTTTCACCCCAAAGTAGAGGGCACAACATATTCAATGAATAAACACTCTATGTTTGAAATTAGATTGATACATTTTTGTATCTTAGTTTATAGAATACGAAAGTATGAAGTAACTCTGAACCAGAAAAAAAACTTCAGTTTAAACCACGCCTTCTGCCCATCCACTGCACATAGAGTTACATGCATTGGTCGCCATTTACATGGAACTCTCAAATCTAGAGAAAAAGTACTACAGATTTATGGACCGAAGACAACAAAAGTCTCGAAATGCCTTACATCAGGTTTAGGGAACACCCCGTGGTAGACGTTCTTGAGATCATCCAGGTTGCGCCACTTGCCCGTAAATGTCTTGGACAGTTTGCTTTGCAGGAGTAGGTTAGCCTTTCTCTTGACGAGGTCAAACTGGGCATAGGAAAAAAAATAAAATGTTTTTGTTTGACGGGACAGCCAATCAATATTGCACGTCAGGCAAGGTATTCGTAGGCATGTCGTTTATTAGCATAAATTATAAACCAGTTTGTTACACAAACATAATATAAATCCACAATTTATGACTCGCTGATATTTAAGGCAACGTCCCTGCATGCCTCACTTACCAAATAATCGAAGGAGAACTTCTCGTCACTTGGCAGCTCGGCCACCTGGCGTCAAAAGTATAAGCAAAATATTTACAGTATTTGAAATAACAGGAACCAAGTCTAAAAATGCCCTCTCGTAATATTGAATGCTGCATTGAGTTTCTCAACTTGAAATTGAAGAGCAGCTGTCGCTCCTTGATTTTTCTGCTACAGAAGTGCGCTGATGAACGAGAAAGTGGGTCAGTGATGAATGTAAGAAGTCGAAAATACATACACCTGTTGTCTGTTGGGAAGAAGGGCGAAATACAAGTCAACTGAATAATTTATTTTCTATTGAAGAAAACCGAGGTTTCTGGCAAAGGAAGTGTAGTCCAGAGTTTCGCGGGAACTAAAACTCCAATCCACTTGTCAGTCCATGGCCAGCCCAGGTGGAATTGGAAGCCGGGTCGCAGACGAGGGAGGTCGGGAACGTATGCTAATTGACCCCCCCCAATTGGTTATACAAAGACGAACCCCAAACAGCACCGTGTCAGTGCCATTTGCACCATTCTCAGTCACTCATCCAAAGCGTAGAGAACATCATCCTTCTCAATTCTGCAGAGGATCCCTGAGCAAATATTCCACTGCAGAATGCAGTGATAGGCCCCGGCCCTATGGGAGTTGACCTTGATACAAGCATAATGTGTTCCTAGCTCTGTGATACCAGGTACCTGGACGTCACTTGTGAAAAATACAAAGCGAACTCGAACCTTTTCAGAGATTACTCAAAGGACAGTTGGTTGTCACCTTTGCCTCGAGCACTTAAACTAGCTTGAAAGGCCACTGAAATCGGGGTCGGGGAATGACGGTGGGCATCTCGCTCGTAAGCGACATTTTATAATCAAAGTGTAGGCCAAATATGAATTCGAATATTTCTGGTTAAATGTGATCCTGACTTTTTCAACCACGGACCTGTGGCCATACTGACTCATGTTGCGAATTGCGTGTGAACCACGATGCAGCTCCCAGATCAAAGTCTACAACTTACGGTTCCACGTACACGCGGATTCACTTCATCAGTTGTACCATGGACTATAAAAGCATTTCCTCCATGGGGCCTTTTCCAGAAATGTCCTTTTCTAGGACAGGATGTCGACGTACCACAGCAAAAGCACACAGTGGTACAATAAAAGTTGCAATGCTTATTTTGAAATGCAAATTGGAAGATTCCGTTCTATAGGTTGGGAACAAAATACTACACAACATTAACTAACCTCGGATGGCATGATTTGTTAACAAGTAGAGCCTAGGCCTAATCCTTGGAAGAAAGACCATCTTGACAATTTTTAGAGTGATTTGACAAGAATTATGATCCCAGATTACTATGGTAACGGATTAAAAATTAATGAAGTATGTACATGCTGGATAAAGTTTACTGCCACCTTGCGTTTCCAAAATGCTGAATGGTTTCGCAGTAATACATTATCCCCGAAGACATTATTCATTTTTTGTCGAGTTATTTGCAAAACGGAATGACCTTTTAACAGTGATATCGCTGCTGGTCACCTCATACGATATTGGGTACTCACCTGAGAAGGTAACCCTGCTTCAGGGGCCTGGCTCCTGAACTGATAAATCTCCCTTATTTCCTCCATCTCCTCCTTGCGTTGTGAATCTTTGCGTGGGTCATGCTGAGGCAACAGTGAGTCATACTGACGGAAAATGACACTCTTCTTGGCCGGAATCCACCGGTGGACGGGGAACTCGTACGGCCCCTTCTCTGGGGCATCCTTGGGCGTCTCGAAGATATCGATTTTCTCCAGGTACCACGGGTCGAAGGCACCGTGTTCGTCCCGCCAGAGCTCGATCTCATGTACAGCGCCGAAGTCAGCTGGGAGTTTGGCCTTAAACTCATCGGTTTTCCCTCTCTCGAAGTCATCGTGGAACAGCCGATCCAGCTTGATCTTCTTGGAAGTGACTCCATTCTCGTTGTGCAGGATGATGTAGATGTTAGCATCTGTACCAGCGCCTTTGCGATCGCCAGTCTTCACAAGGATCTTGTAGTGGGTGTGAGCACCGGCCAAGTTATCGTCGGATGACGCTTCTTTCATTGCAGTAGCCTGACCGTCGGAGACATCGTTAGACGACCCATTACCACAACAACACAGAAGACGGGACATGATGAAGAACTGCCGTCGTCAATTAAAGTTCAAAGCCCCCGTCCTAAACTTCAGCGAGTGGTTCTCTTCGGCAATGACAACGCCCGAAACAAGAGTCTGCACGTAAGCAGAGTGGCCAATACGACCCTTCACACCCAACACACACCGAGTACACTGCCCGTGCGAATTCCAGTTTGACCTCTTTTTTAATACAGCGACCTTGTATCAACAATACGATTCTACCTTGCCTCAGTGAACAGGAAAAAGAGTGCGTTTCGCCTTCATATGAATATGCAAATTTTTGAGCAGGACATGCGGTGACGCAGGGACTGATCATTTGCCGAGGGAGATCGGCCAAAAAGTGTTTTTATAGATGTGGAGTTTGACAGACAATGAGGAGCTTCAGTCTATTGATGTGAAGTTTTCTGTGTTGCGAATGATAAATATCCACCTTAGAAAAGTATTTATACTTTGTGCTTCAACGAATAAAGAGGAACACACCAGTCGAATGAACCATTTTAGTATTCCCTGGGATTGAGAATGTGTTCGATTCTTTTGCGATTATGCAGATCCCACACGAGCTTACGAGACAGTCATCAATGACTGTCCAACCGAAATCCCCATCCCCAAGTAACTTGCACTGTCACCATACAGTGACGTTTCTGTTGGCTTCCTCGCGTCATGCAAGCACCTTGGGTTCAGAATTATTGAACAAAAATTTGGATATCCAACTGCAACTGAGACATGATGGGACCATGGGACGTGGAATCCAGATCTATGTCCATGTAGAGCTGTACACAGTGAAAATGCTATATTGCTTGGAATATTTCCAACTTTCTCTTCTGCAATAATAGGACAGAAGTAGATAACCTTTGGCCGCTAAAGAGCAAGCCAACAGAAATAAACATGGCAGGGAACATGGCTCTTGGAAGTGTAAATCGACAATTTGGTCGGGAAATCCCAAGGTGGTGAAATGGGTGACTTTTACAATGTATCGGAAATAGATCTGCCGGAATTATAACTTCATCCAGTGACGGACATGACTTCTGATGATATAAGCTAATAACAGACTACATATACAGACCGATGTGTGAACTCGAGGCCGGATGTTAGACCTGGGTCGTTCTTTTTTTCTTTCTGTTTCAATATTTGAACAGGAAATTTTCTGAAAACCCTCCCCCCTCAAAAAAATTGATGATGTCAATCCGCACTTGGGGTGAAAGAAGGTCGCACTGTAAGCTTTAGCTAATAAAACAATTTTGAAGTAGCTTTACGAGTTTAACTCGTATGAGTGAACATATGGACCAGGTGTAAATGTAACACCTATAGTGTAAGGTACTCAGAATGGGTACCTGAGAAGGAAGTCCAAATGCTTGAGGCTTGAATTTGTAGCTCTTCCTTGAATATTTCAGTTCCTCTTTCCTCTGAGTCTTGGCCAAAGGATCTCGCTGTGGCAAACAGCAATCGAACAGGGTAAACTGCATCTTCTTTTTGGGAAGAATCCATTGATGCACGGGCAAGACAGCCAGGGACCTCCCGCCCTTTCTCTAGGGCCCTCCAGCATCGTGGATCTCGATCTTCTCCAGATGCCACGCGTCAAAAGTCCCAGCCGCGTCCCGCCAAACCTCGACCCGGGAGATGCTACCGAAGCCCGCCCGCTTCAACCTGACCGCAAACAAGTCCACCTGGCCCCGCTCAAAGTCGTTCTTCGACTGGTTGTCCATCTTGAAGCTTTCGGATCGGACATTAGCGGTGTTGTAGAGGGCAAGGTAGACGTTTGCATCGGTGCCAGTACCCACCAAATCCCCCGTCTTCACAACCACGCGGTACCAGGACATCTTGCAGGCTCCTCTGCGTTCTTGAATCCTCAACAGTTCAAACGGAATCTCCCCTAACGAAATCCCTCTGAACAAAAGACAGTCGATTGGATCCCACGGGTACTTCAGCACGAACTCCTAAACCAGCGTTTATAAAAGGATAGTCAAAGCTTACAGGGGATACTCGAAAAACCCGTCCCCTTAGAACACCAATATATAAGTACTTGTTTACGACCGTAAGTATATTTATTGTTCAGTTCCAAAGTGGATCTGGACACCAAGTATGCTTACAATGATCAAATAAAATAGATGGCGATGCACGACGACCTAGCGTTTTACGAGCAAAACGATGTACTTTGAAAAAATGTTTGTAGAAAATAGCATAATATAATACAGTACCCCGTCCATCTACCATCACACATAATGCACATGGTCCCCAATCCAATACATTTTGGTTGTAAACCAATTTTCAAAAGTTCTACTTCATTTAATTAAACTAGAACGGCCGCTTTTGAAATTGCCTTTCATTTTGAGAATACGACGTTCACAGGGCAAAGAAGCAGCCTGTTTGTAGTTGCCAAACTTCTGCGGTGTGTACATGGATTTCCGACATCGAAGGTCAACGGGACGATAATATGACCAGGAAATGAAGTCTACAAACACAGAACAGAATACAGCCGATGATTGTGGAAAAATGTCAGCAGTCAAATTGTACAAACAACGCATGATATCAAAGTTTTCCTGATGAGAGTATCTTGGAGTGGGTTCACTTGTGGTATCGGTTACAGCGGATACGATTATTGTCGGTTTGTGATTGGCGCTAAAATTGAAGACAGACCGGTAAAGCTAGAAAAAAAGTGTACCGGGCCACGGGAAAGATTTTCCTATAGGGATAAAGTTGAAAATTGCCGTAGGTTTGGCCGGTACTTTCCGAAGACCATCAGTAAATCAGCAATATTTATTCGTCTCTTGATAGACCTATCAGTAGGCAACGAGTTGACTGTCGGCGAAAACCACACATAACATTGGACCCAGAGCTTGCTCCGAACCGGAAACCAGAGACGCCTGTGGTACGGTACCCATGACACGACCTAAAGGTTAGCCTTCATTCAAGACTTTTTTACAAACGGTCACGCGTTCGGGGGAGAAATATGAATAAATATTCCTCAAAATCATCGTGATCGCTACCCTCCCTCCCAAGGATCTGTAAATATCACTTATCAGCACTTTTAAAATGAATGCCGAGACCTTTCAGAGTTCAAGGAATGATAAAATTTCCCGTTGACGTCATCAGAACATTGCCTTACCTGACATGGAAGACCTGGGGCTTGACTTCTGAAAGTGTAAGTCCCCTTGAATTCTTCTAATTCTTCCTTTCTCTGCGTTTCCTTGAGAGGATCATGTTGGGGGAGCAGCGTATCATACTGGTGAAACATGACCCTCTTCCTAGCCGGAATCCACCGATGGACGGGGAACTCGTACGGCCCCTTCTTGGGCCCCTCCTTGGGTTTCTCAAATATGTCGATCTTCTCCAGGTACCAGGCATCGAAGGCGCCATGCTTGTCCCGCCACAGCTCGATCTTTTCAACAGCACCAAACTCGGCCGGCAGCTTGGCTTTGAATTTGTCGGTGTGGCCCCTCTCGAAGGCGTTATGGATTTTGCGGTGTAGCTTGATCTCCTTGGAAGCCACCTTCTTCTTGTTATGCAGGATGATGTAGATGTTGGCGTCTGTACCAGCACCTTTCATATCCCCGGTTTTGACGAGGATCTTGTAAATCGTATGGGTGCTAGTAGCCTTGTATTCGTCATCCATAGTGGTTAAAACGCCGTAGACAGTCCAGAATGGTGTTCAAAGTTTGTAATATTGACCACCTTGCTGGTGTGCAGTGTACATGTACGTGTAAGTCGGTGTACAGCTATCACGCAACTGGTGCGTTGCAATTCTAGTAAAAGTTTCCGTGTGCGATTCGGCTAATCTTTAATACCCGTGTGGCTTCCGGATACACTGTACATCATATGCAATGTATTTACAGTCTCCCTGTGTGTACGTGTGGCCCAATGGAGTCCGTGTGAACTCAATCCGTGTATGGTGGTGCAAGAAAGGTCGAGGCCGCTTTAACACAATGCTCGCAAGATAGCAGTTGGAGCATGGTTGGAGCATAGAGCTAGGAACACAATCCTAGCTCTATGGTTGGAGCAAATAGGGTAGTCCAGTGACGCATCTTGGATTTGTACGGTTCAGTGAAAGCCATGAATGGAAAGGGTATGCTCACAGTGCGCTTCAGGGTTGGGAATTTGACTTCATGACCTGACCTAATCACACCAACCCCGCTAGTAGACTTTTGGCCCAAGACTTGGATAATTTGCCAGTGAAGCCATTCTCAGCTGGGTTTCCCATGCAGGCTAATGAACCACATACAGTACATATACACGTACACCTGTAGGCTGTACCGATGCCTAACCATCCATGTAGCCGGGTATTGGCACAACAAACAGGCTTCTAACAATGACCTAAGTCACTCATTGTGACGGAACAGCTTTCCATGAATCTTTTATTCTCTGTCATTCTGTATAGCACACCCGTCACACTCACAGTAACCGGACCGAGCAGTGGCGTAGCGAGCGGGGATGTGGGAGGTGTGGGGGTGTGTTGCACCCCCTCAATAATTCTTTTATATCCGGACCAAGCAGCGGCGTAGCGAGCGGGGATGTTGGAGGGGGATGTCGCACCCCCAATAATTCTTTTCAGTCGGCAAATAAAGGGTCAGTCGGCAAATGAAACTGAAATTGTATCGACCAGTCAGCAAATTGACCCGGGCACACACCCCCCAAGAAAATGCCTTCGCTACGCCGCTGGGACCAAGCATTCATGTTCTTCAAAACCCGTCCATATTTTCAGACATATGACGCACACATACAGCACTCAACAGATTCCATTTGTCATACTACGAAAGGGGCCATACATATTCATTGTTTGAAATGATGATAACATGGCATATCCGGGTTCTAGTCTGAAGGTTAAAAACGTGGATTTTTGTCCTCTGGGGGGTTATCAGGAAGTTTACAACCGGTAAACCCGGTTGTAAAATTCTGGTACAATCTCAACCATATCTCAAAGGTGCTGAGGGGTCGTATCTTCTGAATATTTGTGGTTCTCGTCCGCCCCATCAGAGAACCCGAAGAAGTTGATCAGTCAATTTGGAGGGAAAAGTACTGATTTGAATATTCAGCATTAGTATCTTCAGTCCGTTCTTTCTTCGGTCTAATAACATACCAGACCCATATCATAACTCTTTGTTTGTTTTATGGGGTGTATATCATGTAAACAAGCCGCTCGATGACGAGAGGGTGTTGATGAAAGGTCACATTTTTCTTGCTTAACAAATAAACGAAGCCATCTGCAGCCAACTTAACATTTTCCATCATGGATACTATTTCAAACTAGCCGAAGAGTATCTATGGGTGTACAAATATGACACCCAAACGATAGAAAAAACCAAACAAGAAATAACATCAACCTCTAGGATAATCTAACTTGACAAGCGATACATAATGCTGAGGATCATTGATGCATTGGGGCACATTGGTCTCGTGTATACGGCATTTGACCTGTAGTGGTTAGCATTTCTGGCTTCGAGTGACAAGGTTGGGGATTCGAATCCAGCTGGTGGCAGCATTTTGCGATCTAAAGGGCAAGTCACTTTACCCCTTCGTCAGTGCTTCTCTCCAACCAAGGAGTGAGTAAATAGGCACCTACGGAGGCATGGATATTGTGTTTAGCCGTTTGAACCTGATATTGTGGCATCAAGATAGCATACTCCCCAAGGAGCTGAGATGGTTTCAGGAATGTTCAGATGTTACGAGCCCAATGCGCATATATAATGATAACGCATCAACGCCTTTCAATTACGGATACTGGGAGACACTGTGCCCTATAATATATGTATTAACATTTTTACCAGAACAACTAATGATAATACACAACTCTGAAGTTAACGAAGATGTTTTGAGCATCAAGGATGTCTGCATTATGCTTGACAGATCCACAAAGAACCAGAATTTTATAAAAGGAGTATAAAAAAAAATCTCATTTAATCAGCCTGACCATGCCATGACTCCACACATGTACCACAAATGTTGGAGCGCGTCTCGCGACGCAAACACCCGCACGCACGCTCTTGTCGCATTCTGACAGTCAGTGTAGATTCATGCAATCCAAAAAAATTCTAACCTGGAGTAGAATCTTACGTGCACACACCCGATATAGCCATCATTCAACCGCTTTGTGCAGGCCTACCCACCTGACATGGAATTCCCGCCTCCGGGGCCTGGCTCCTGAACTGATAGATTTGCCGTAATTCCCGCATTTCTTCCTTCCTCTGCGTGTCCTTCAGGGGATCATTCTGGGGTAGCAGGGAGTCATACCGGTGAAAAAACACCCTTTTATTGGCCTGAATCCACCGATGGACGGGGAACTCGTACGGCCCCTTCTTGGGCCCTTCCTTGGGTGTCTCAAAGATGTCGATTTTCTCCAGGTACCACGGGTCGAATGCGCCGCACTCGTCCCGCCAGAGCTCAATCTTCGCCACGGCACCAAACTCGACGGGGAGTTTGGTCTTAAACTCGTCGGTCTTCCCCCTCTCAAAATCATCATGGAACAGCCGGTCCAGCTTGATCTCTTTGGAGGCGACAAGACTCTCGTTGTGTAGGATGATGTAGATGTTAGCATCTGTACCAGCGCCTTTGCGATCGCCAGTCTTCACAAATATTTTGTAGTGGGTGTGGGTGCCCACCAAGTTGTCTTCTGATGATGCCTTCTTCATCTCTATTCCTGTCTCCCCATCCACGTAGTCGCTTGATCTTTGTCGGCAACAACCAAAGCAGGCCATGATTGGGAATTCTGTGTTAAACGTCTGAGACTAAGGTCTTAATGGCACATTGTAAATTTGTCTGACTCGGAGAAAATAAGAACATCAGTGGGTGTGATCTGGCTCAGCAATGCTTTCAGCAGTGAACGGCGCTACACAGGCCTAGTAGCAGACACGCTGACTAAAACCTCTGAATACGATTAGGCACCCAAGACTTACGCGTTATGCATTATTATGCTTGCAGTGGACGCTATCTCGGTGAAGAGCCGATGGAGTGTACATGTACTGTACATGGCATGCAAGACACGTACGTATATCGATCCGGTTGGAACAAGTTTCATCCACCCTGCCGATCGAGCTTGCTAGCCAGACTGGGGGCTGTGTTTACTCCACCGGAGGTCACGCGGTCGCGCAACTATGCAAGTGTCAGTGTTAAACACTATTTTCACAGCATGGTGTGAAATAAACGCCGGGTGACAGGCCATGATCCCGCGCCCCTATGCCACATTTTGGAACCACAAACCCTAGTCCACATGAATTAAAGGGGTTTCTTATCGATGCTGTGTAAATAGTAGGTGAACAAATTTTTGAATGCTGTCTGCCCTTGATCGGAGGGAACCCGGCCTATTCAAAACAGCTTTCTTGTTTCATTTTCTTGAGGTCCTCAGAAATAGGGCGCAGAAAAAATGGCATCTTGGTTTGACGCTACCTCCACGGTCCTTGCTCTGTGGTTTGACCATGGAGGAAGGAAGACAGTGGTCCGATAGGGTCCCTCTCTTTATATATTCTTAAAGTGGCCTTCAAGGACGACTGGGGTCGATAGCACAGGGTTCCAATGCAGGGGCGGATCCAGGAATTTTTCCAAGAGGGAGGGGCAAGGAGTCAGGCCGGTCACATTAAGAAAAATTAATATCCGGGTTTGCGGACGGGAGAAGACACAGGTAATGCATCACATTTGACCGATGCACTTACCTTAATACGTAGTATCAAGTTATCTTTTTATTATACATGCTTTATTTGTTTTTTTTTATGTTTTTTTTTATTTTTGTTTCGGTGGGGGAGGTGAATCCCCAATTCCCTTTTGGACCCGTGCCTGGGTTCTCCGTCTCCTTCATCTTGGGGCGAGAGGGACATGAGATCACTAACGATACCCAAATCTAGAGCCTGTCCCCTACGGGCGCACCCCTAAGAGCTTAGCCTACTTCCAAACGGTCAACTTTACTCATGACATCTAAAAACATTTACCAAAAGGTCTAATGCTGCCTTTGTTAATATCCATCCATTCGACTTGTTTGGTTACATGGGCTCACCATGGAACATAACCATTCTGTGTATGTTTGTTATTAGATGAACCTGGTTCGGAAACTGTTTAGACATTGCTAACAAGCTAACAAGATGGAGTATTATATTCGTGACTAATGAATCCGGGATCAAAGTGTTGATCCCACACAAAGTTTCAGTATGTTTTTTTGAAAATCGAATCTGTTTGGTTAGTTTTAAAACCAGATAGGCTGAAGACTTATTGACTTATGACATTATGATAAACTCCGTCATATTCGAGACAGGATTTGATTAATGGCACGTTTTATCCGAAAGCTTCTCATTCTTCACATAACTGTGCCAATTTGCCGACATTGCAAAGTGCACTCGAAACTGCTACGACAATGGTGGATGAATGTAATCATAGTCGCAATCCGAGTATTTATCTCAAGAACTTGGAAGGATTACAGCCTACAATGCTCTGGGCAAATGCTCCCCCCTTGTGTTAAGCTTTGCATTCAGATATATCGCAATCTGATTTGTTGGAGACGTCATGATCAGGCGGTGTCAAATATTTTCCAGTAAGATGGAATGGTCTTATCATTGCAGTCAACGATCTATAATGATTCCCCTGTGAGATTGGCTCTCAGAGGATGGAAACGATGCGACATATCTCGGGGGACTTAATTCTCGCCACCTCTTGTGTACGTATAGTTATACTTTACCAGGACTCTCCATTGTCATTGTAGATGAAGAAATAATGAATTTGCAGCCTTCACGTCATCGTCAGCAAAGTTAGGATATTACAGAAAGTGGAAGAGCTGTGTCAAATGGCGGTTAAGTGCGAAATGTGTATGGATGCATTCATGGAATTGGCTTTCTATACCGAGCAACTTGAAGCAGTGTCCCTTTGCGCACCTCAGAAACTGCCACCAAAGATGCGAGCAATATTCTGCTGTAACATCTCTCAGTGAATTACCCTTCATTAGCATATAGCTTGGTCTAATCCTCCAACATATATGCAAACATACATAATAAGTAACAACAAATTTTATAAACACACTTGTAAAAATTAACGACCATGGCAACTATTCAAACAGTCTGGAAGGCAACAGATGTCAGTTTTAGGTAGATCTATACGGGAGCTGAACGCTATAAATATGGATGCTGTACCTTCGACAAGGGCACCGATAGTATTATGGTCCCATATGCATACTGGCCTGGCAGGACTTCAGGAAAGCTAAAACACTAGCATGCTAATAAGGAGTCAACTCAAATTTGTCCCGGACCAGTTGTGGGATTATTAACAATCTTGTCGGCAATCTTCCCGCAATGAAGCAGTTAGTTTTATTGCATCCACCCCCCTCCTCCCCCCGATTGTGGTTTGTTTCAGGCCGGCACTCAAAGACACACGGTGTGTCAATTCTACTCGAAGTAAACATTACAATAGCGCCATTTATGTGGGCCACCTGTTGTGTGGGTTGCAATGAGGCCAAATGTAAACAGCCGTTAACGGTTGACAAGTTGCTTATGAAAATTCCTCCGGAACACGTCCGGGACAAATGCAGGGCTTCTTGTGGTTTAAGTCAGTGTTGCCATCCGCAACTTAAATGTCCCGGACGAGTTCTGAGATGGTTTGAGATGGTTTTGAGTGATTTACCATTCACGAACAAAGTCATCCAATGTAGACATACACAAAGAGTAACAAACAAAATTAAAAACTGACTTATCCCCCGTACAAATTAACGACCATGCCAACTGCCAAAAACATCTCAAACGCTCCGATGCCTTTTAGCATCGAGTATCCCTTTTTTTTTCAATACAAAACTCGAATACTTGGATGGTAAATGTTAAGGGCGGCGCATGAATATCACATTTACGTTTATCATTCAAACTTGTGTGGGTATCATGATATATTATATGTGTCTCAGTAATCATTGTATCGAGGGAAAAAATCATGCTCGTGATCCGTGAAATTGGCCCTGACCACTCACACACACGACGTTCAAACTCAAAAACACGAAGTTCAAACTCGCAGACACGAAGTTCAAACTCACAAACACGACGTTCAAACTCACAAACACGACTTACCAACTCACACGACGTTAAAATTCACACACAAGACGTTCAAACTCACAAACACAAATTTCCAACTCACAAACACGACTTTCCATTTCACACGACGTTCAAACTCACAGACACGAAGTTCAAACTCACAGACACGACGTTCAAACTCACAAACACGACTGTCCAACTCACACACACGACATTTGCCTGTCCGCTTTAGAACACCATACAAAAGTCACACCATCCCTATTCCATGGAAACAAACAATGGAGGCGTACATCACTGATTGACTTCGCTAACACAGTCTAATTTTATCTTGATAGAATTGAAATAAATGACCCGAAGCAGGCAATTAATTCCTTAAAGCGACTTGGACTTGGTAAATTCGCCATTAATACACAATGACAAGAAAAGTGGCCCGTGTGGAGCCTTTCTCAACTTTTTCTTTGCACACTGCGAGGCAAAAAAGCAATTTTTGGCAAAGCAACTCACACTCATTGCAATTAAGATATAGTTTTAAATTCATCTTTTCCCTTTCACAACACATAAGCTTTCAGTAGTTACCATGGAAATGCAATCATGTGATTCCTCATCGCAAACGCGCAAAGGGAAGCGTCCATGATTACTTGAATGAACCGTCTGAACAGTGGAATTATAAAGCGCCACAAATAACATGCTGGAGACAAATAAAATGCCAAAGAAATCGAATTTACGACAACTGCTGCTTGATGGCCGACATAAAATGTTACTGTTCGCTTGTTTCCAAACTACTTTGCTTGTATATCAAGCAAGAACAACCTTGCATTTAGAAATCCCGGAAGCTCCTGGCTGTGGCTGGCTCCTCTTTTGACCATTGTCAATATCTTTAACCTTGGCTATTTCCTTTCCAAAAGTCAACAAGCAACAAAAATTAAGTGAACATGCACCTGTAAATGCAGTTTTATTATGGTACTGGCGCGAAAATCCCGGTGGATGTGGGGTATACATCCCCCAACTTTTGACCGGGGGGATGGGCCATTGAATCACCTCCACACACACATTTTCGTGTTGAAAAAATTAAGGCAGATTTTGAAGAACCTTCAGAACTTCCAATCAAGCGAAGTGTAAAATGGGAGACAAATCTGCAAAAATGCACCACTTTTTTGTGTACAAACCAATGGAACATGGAGGCTTCTTCCTGGCATGACATCACAGTTTTGCTCATGAATATGGAAATCCCATTAGCACAAAAAATCAAAAGGCATTAAAATACCCTTTGAAATAGTGAAACCAAAGTTAAAAATAAAGTTTACCGACGCATAAAGGTGCATTTTAAAGGTTTGTAATCAAAAACATTGATTGCAGATGCAGCTACCCTTTAAGACAACCTTGGTAATTGTGACAGAACTCAATGATCCATTACTACAATCTCTGCAAATGCGATATAGTCGTAGTAGTATAGTCATATAATCATATAGGCCTA